ATAGCAGTCATTGAATGTTTTTACCGTACGTTTTAGAGTAAAAAAAATGGAGCTCTCCAACTCAGAATTTGCAACAAGCATATACTTTTCTTTGAAGGATCATTTATTTCTTTTTTACTAAATAATAAATTCAATAGCGAGTTGAAAATCTGAAAGAAAATTACTATATATACGAAATATTTTATATCCTATACAGAGCAGTGTAGCAGTGCGTCAGCCTTCTTTTTTTTTTTTGCAATTTTAAAAATGGAGAATCTAATTTCATATGCTATGCAGACATAATTCAATAACAGACAAAAGCCAAACTTACAATATGCCTTCTGCAGAACCAATTGCAATCTTCATTCTTCTTTTCCAATCTAATTGAACTTCACCAGCAAATTGACCATGCAGATGAGACAATAAGCTCAGATTGGGCATGTAGTCATAAACTATGAGCCTTTGATCAGTCCCAACGCAGTAACCCCTTAGACCCAAGAGATTTTTGTGCCTAACCCTTCCAAGAACTTCAACTTCCACTGCAAATTCCATCTCAGCTTTTGAAGTCATGGATTTTAATTTCTTAACAGCTATCTGCATGCATTATTCAACAACTAAACACTTCAGGCACAGTGGCAGAACATAGAAATTTAACAAAAATAAAAAAGAAAAAAGAGGATCAAATATCTATGGATATGTACCTGAAGACCATCACTGGTTTTACCCCAATAAACACTGCCAAAGCCACCTTCTCCAAGCATGTTATCGTCGCTGAAACCATTAGTAGCCGTGTACAACTCTTTGTATGTAAACATTCTCCATGTGTTCTTCCCTGGAGTAACCACAGTTACCCTACAACAAGTATGGCTAAAATTTTCAGCATAATCTAATTAGGAAGGAAAACTATACTCCATAGATACAAAGATCAGTACTAATTTTCGCATACCCTTCATCAACCTTCTCTGAACTAAAGCAACTCAAGACTGATCCCATAGCTTTTGGCTATGGGGGAGTTGTTACCAAATTTCAGTTGAATTTCTGAATTGGTAGTTTGCCTTTTTAAACCATACTAAAGGCGTATCTGTAATTTCTCACATGAGACCAGGCGCCGCCCTTGGCCGGCCTGTATGTCATCACTCATAACAAGTACCTTCAACGGATTTAACTTTGTAGAATATGTATCCAATAAATGAAATCAGTACTATTAATGAACAAAACTTAGATAAAATCAGTCAAATATGTCAATTTTATTTATTAGTTTTTAACCTTTTGAGTAAAACTTAGATGGCTACAGCTTCTCCATAGTAAAATGGCAGGAAATATTTTATTTTTGCCGGTCCAACCCCTTTCTTGTCTTTCCTTTTAGTCATGCAGCAATTTCTTCATTGCATCAATGTTTTTTTTCTTCTAAATATGATGGTCAAAGAAAAAGATACTTCTTCATAAGCATTTTTTTTCTTTGCTTGTTTAAATGCTTAATATTTTTAATTTGATGGCTTGGATTGATATAAACTAAAAGTCTAAACACATATGTAATTATGCCACTTGGCATTAATTGGTTAGTCAAAGCATATAATCATTAATATATCAATGCATAATCTAAGAGAGGCATCATCTGCTTTTTTTTTTTTTTTTGCCATTAGTTTTATTAAGAGTAGAGTCAGATGACCATATATTTATTACAAAAATCATTAATAAACTTATTAAAATAAATTTTTATTATTTAATTATTAAAATTTAAAAAATATATGATTATATGACGTAATTTAAATAAAAAAACATGTGCTGACATTGAACAACCGTTTTGATATTGTTTTTTTTTTCCGATGCAAAAGACAGGCGAATTTTAATATTGTCCCCTCTCCTATTTTTATAAAGCCAAGAAACTATCTTTCTGTATAATCCCAAACTGCATAAAGACATGCGGTGACGCTGCGAGAATTGAAATAATTTAGTACTATGAATTCAAACGAGCTTAATTAGTCAATTCATGACTTTGGCATAATGGATCTTTTTTTTTTTTTGAAATTCTTAATTTATCCTTAAATCTCTTTACTTTATTATTTTTTGATTGAAAAAGATATTACATGCATAAATTTTTTTGAACCTACAATTTTCAAATATTAATTTTAATAATATGTCAATTTATTAAAAAGATAATCGATAATAATGGTTCATTTCTGGATCTATTTCTCATTGTACCATGAACCAAGAAAATGTTACAAAGAAGAACCAGCCAGTCGCCACAGCCAGACCCCGAATTGTATGCTTTCAAGTAACTTTTGGGTTAGGCCTTTATAATTATAACCGAGGTCTACACATGCCATTTGAATAATGCCCAACCACTTTCCCATGGCTATACCTGAATTTTGGGAGGCCTAAGCCCAATCAAACAGGTGGATGTTACACCTTTTTTTTTTTTTAATTTTTAATATAAAATAATAAAAATAAAGTCAAATGTATTTGCCTTGAAATAGCCCATATATTCTACTTTCTGAACATCAAGAACGGCCCTTGTTTGATGTTCCATAATTACATGAAATACTTGAAAGTAACATTATTCATGATCATGTTTCCGACCATTTTGGATCATTATTTCCTCTCATTTCCTGTTTCCTTTATCTTACATCAGAAGTTCAGAACCAAAGCAAATGAAGTTACACATGCACATAAACTCATCCATTTATCATCTTCATCTTTATGATCAACCCCGCATTGGTCCTATAGATTTCAAGAATGCCTCGAGTTCATCCTCGAAAGAGGCCAATTCCAGCCAGATAGACTAATTTTGAGTTGTGATTTTTAAAGCTTTTTAAACAAGGAAATTAAAGAAAAAAAGGATGCAACTTTCATTGACATTCCTTTATCATTTTGTATTTATTGGAATGTTTTGACTTGACATTTATGAGCAAGTGATGCAGCTGTTGGCATTGGCAATTATTGGTATACCTCATCCTCTTCATTGTCACAATTTTTGTTTTCTTTTTCTTTTTATTCAAGATGACTCAATCTTCAACCACAAGAAAATAGAAATAGACTAAACCCATAGCTCCATTCATCATTTCAAGACCACTTTGGGTCGTGGCAATTAGTATTTCAGTGAAATTGATGAGTGTTTGATCATTTTCTGTAGGCCAGCCATTATAGCAGTCGAATTCCCATTAGGAAGAAAATTTTCTCTGATACTGGCGCTAATGGGTCTTGATGTGTAATACCACTTTCTTCACACGCTTTGAGCATTTCTAACCATTCCAACGTAGCAGATTTGCTAATTGAAAGGTGAGTTATAGCAATTTTCTAATAAAAAGACGGCCACGTTTGGCCTTCTTTCCACCTGGCCATCAGGCCTTGCCAGCAGTCGAAGAAGATGGTGTAGAAGATAAGAGTTGAAAAAGAAAAAAAAAAAAAGAAAAGAGAGAAAAATATTTTATTATAAAAATAATTTTAGATATCATAATAATTTAATTTAAATGAAAATAATGAAGCATAAACAAATAAGGAAAAAGAAAACAAAATAAGATTTGTCGTCGAACTTTGTTAGGTGAGACATATAATGCTTAAACTTGATTTTTGTTCTTTCTTTTATTCTTCAGATAGATTTTGATGCAGCACCATCCCATGTCCCTACAGCCATTAATGTTAGTTCAGTAACTTGTGGCTATAGATTTGTAGTGCTTATCATTATGGTAATCTTATATATCAATGTATATATATGGGACCCGAATGTTGTGTGATCATGGAAAATGTTGAGTGATCATTGAAATTTCTTCTCAAAAGAAAATCCTCGAACCTCATGTATGTATTTTAAAACAGCTGAGTTGGAAAAGAGTGGTAAGAGTTAGGATTCAAACTTTTAACGTTATTGAAAATTCATCATCTTATACAAATGACTTGAATACTTAACCATATGGACTAAACATTGATTTCGAAGATAAGATATACATAGAATATTGAATGCTTATTTTAAGAATGAAGATATAAGGGTTTATCAAATATTTTATTTCACCATTCAATCTATTATTTCTTTTAAACTAAAACGTAATGATTTTGATTTTATTAATTTATAACAATTAATTTGGATGGAACAGGAAGCGAGAAAAGACTTGTACGAGGTTTTTAAAGTAAAGTTTACAAAATTTTTTAATTAAAAATAATTAAATTAAAATAAAATAAAAATCAAAATTAATAAATTAAAAGATATTGTTACATAGATCAAACGTGCAAATTTTGAAAAAATTTAATAAATTTTGATATATTTTTTAAATAAATATTTTTTAGTAAAATATTTAATAAAATTTTTGTCATTGAATAAATATCTATCAAATTTAAATTATAAAACAGCATTTTAAATAATTTTGTACATTTTATTAATTTTTTAAAAAATAATATGAATTCAATGGGCGTCTTAATGATTCACACACAGTAAATTTCTTTGATTTGAAAAAGAAATTAAAAGAACAAAATTAAGTCCGACATATGGACATTTGAACTTATTCATTTTCCTGTCTAGATGATGCATTAATGAATTTAGTTGGCTTTTGATGAACCAATGTACTTAGCAGCACATGGTGGGTCTGTTAATCCCCAAAAATTAAAGAGGATGATATAATTAATAAACAAATTTCCTACTTGAAGCGCCAGGAATCTTAGTGCTAATTAGCAAGAATTAAAAGAAAGCCAACAAAGAAAGACAAGGAAAAATTTTTGAATAAAGGAGCATCTTGATCATCTAATATCTATCCATTTTCTTGTTTGAGAAAATTAAATTCCATGAAAAAGGGTTGGGGATATTGCCAAAAGTAATGAGAAACCTCGTCAATAAAGTATTCGAATCAAACTTTTATACAATTCCTTCTTTATATTTCTGTTTATGAATATTTTATCATGTAGGCTAAGGCTTGAATTATTTACTTTTTTAGTTTTTTTTTGTATTTCTTACAGAAAAATTCAGAAAAATGATAGTGCTATAACAAAAGCTTATGTATATTTTCAGCATATACTTAAAACTTTAAATTCAATTTGTTAATAGGAAGTTGGTGGCTTGAAACATGAAATTTGTAAACAAACCAATGGTGCAACTCATCTTTTGATGCAGATCAATATGGTATCTAGCTCAGTAGATGGCTTACCTCATAAATCATTATGTACCAATGATTGTTGCTTACATGTAGAGTTGAATGCATTTTCAATACAAACCACTTATTTAAGTTTGGCAGTTGGGACAATCGCTGTTGGGTTATTGATGAGTTTGTCCCACTTTGGAATTGGAATTGGGCGTATTTTGTACTACTACTCCCGCAAAAGCCAAAATTAAACCAAACCTGGGGCTTTGGAGTTGGTACGTCACCAGAAAAAGGTGGCTTTACATGATCCAAAACCCACCAAACCAAGTCAGGAATGCGCAAGGCAAGGATGATTTTTGTAATTTGAAGACATTGATTGCTCTGCAATAATGGAATGTATTATTAGATGTTGGGACTGGTGTAGTGGCAGAGCAAAGCACAGACTTTAATAGAACTGAATCAATGTTGAGAAAGAGAATAGTAGAGTCGAGGCTGTGCAATCTGTGCTGCTTCGCCACGCCGCATCAGGAACTTGTATAGAAACCTATCACCATAGCCTCACACGTGCCTTTCTCTGTAACCTTGCCTTCTCTAGGGAGAACCCTAGTTTGTTTAACATTCGGCAGGTTCCAGGATTTTGCAAAAGGAACCTTGGCAAAATTTATGCTTTGGTCATATTAATTCTAGTTATACAAGACTATATTTACTGAATTAATGTGACAAATCTTAATAAAAACTACCCTGGAAAGATCCATATGAAGAACAGTGAATTCTTCATTCCATTCAATCTCAATAAAAATTTATATACATTTTCCGAAGGTAAGAGTAAAACAAAAGGAAAAGGAATTAATCTGTTGCAAAAGATAAGCTCACACCAATCAAACATGCAAGCTGATACACAGACGGACAACTCCCACCTCAAAAAGATCCAAAAGCAAAACCTTGAGCTCTCTTTCAGGAAAAGAAAACCCACCTAGAAAAACCCAGCATCCATCTAAGGAGGTCACAGGAAAATCCTTTGCTAAAAGAAAAAGGGAAAAGAAAAATCAATGGTCCTGATTCTCCTGACTTGAAGATCGCAGAGTCCCCATGCTCCCACTTTGCACCTGATCATCGCCATCACCACCACTCACCTGCTTCTCTCCTTCCTCCTCCAATTTCTCACACTTTTCAGTACCGCAGCAGCTCTTTTCACTCTTGTCACCGAAAGAAGAAGACCTGCTAGAAGAAATGGGGGTGGCCAAGAACGTTGGCTTTACTTCTCCAGCCATAATAACAAAAAACTTTTGTTCCATAACAGGTGCCCCTACTTTCTGGATCTCGTCTCCTGTACCTTCTCCTGCTTCCAAGTCTCTCTCCCCTTGCCCTCCCTCACCGTTCTCAAGGTAACCTGACAGTTTCCAATAAGAACAAGCAAGGATGAGAAGCGCAACCGCTATGAGACCAAGCATGGCAGCCAAGCCACCGAACAAGTAGGGAATTGGTGAATGCCATGCTGAGTGTGGAGTAGTGACTCCTGAAGGTGAATTTGCTGTGACATTGAATGGCTCTCTTGCTGCCATTTTTTTTTTCTTGAAGCAAAAGTTAAAAAAGCTAAGATGGTTTTGTTTTTTTTGTGACATTGGGGATTGGTTGCAGAGGTATTTATAGAAGTTAAAAAATGAGAGGCTTCAGAATGAAGTTTGTTTTAGTTTTAGGTGATGTATGGCGTCATTTGGTACTAATATTGAAGGGGCCACAAGGTGGTGCCGTCAGAGTTCTTTGGGAATTTCCAAAAGGAAACAGTTGGGAGAAACGCGCTTACGAGTAGAAACAAACAAGTTTTGTTGTACTTTAAATTCAATGAAATCTTTGGGCTAAGCCTTGGTCTTCCCTCACAGTCATGATTGGATTGCACCTGTAAAAACTTTGAGTCACAGTTTGTTTCACGATTGTTACATGTAAAAACATATATGATTTCATGGTCATTTAATTTGATAATATATATAAGATGATTAATTTATATTTTTATTTATTTCAAATCTGATTTTAATTTGATTTTAATTTGAATCTTTTTGAGTCAAGTTGTTGACTTTTAACACCAAATTAAGTTTCAATAGAATTTAGGTTCAAGTTGATTAGACGAATTTTTTGAATCAGGTCTGATTAATTGACTCTAATTTTCAAGAAAATATTAATCAATGGCTATTTTATATATATATATATATTTGTTGATAAAAAAAATGTAATTGAACTTAAACCTTTGTATTTCTAGACAACATTTGACTGCTATAGCAATATTGTGTCAACTACAAATATTACACAAGTATAACAATCACGAAACAAAACTTCAAGTTTGGAATTCATTAATTTAGGTAATTCTACATGACTCCTTTTTAAAATCTAATGATCAGTTGCCAAATTTAGAAGTGCTAATTAAAGTAATAGGCCATGATTAGCTTTTTTATAGTGTTCATCAAGCTACAACTACTCTTGTTTAAGTATTTTTACAGAATAATATCTGATAAATTTAAAATTCAAATATCAATATTTATATATTTTTTTATTTTTAGATTGCAAACTCCTATTAAAAAAAGTACTTATCAAGCTTAGACAATGGTATGGCAAACAGAAATGAACTTTCCTACCAACTAGCTAGTGACCTTGGTTTTATTCTTGGGAATTAATAAATAAAATAGGTAATTAAGATTGGTAGGGTTTTTTTTTTTTTTTTCTTTTTCAAAAGATTGGTAGGTTGGGTAATAATTTGAGAGTGAGTAAGCACCCATATTACAAGTGATTGATTAAATAATGGATGGAGTAGGAATAATGAGCTCAAAGAATATAAGAGACAAAAGCAAAAGTCATTTTGCTTTGCCATATGATAAAAAGTTGGAATTTTCATCTGTTGCATGATTGTATGTGTTTGAGTGATGTTCCATTTGCAGCCCCAAACTATCCAAAAACCAGATGATGTCAAAACTAGTTGAAATGATTGATTTAATCTTATTTCATCCACCTTTAATCTTTTTGAGTCCCCGTTACAGAATTACTTAAAGTTTTTGACAATTAATGGAGTAATTAATTGTCCACAATATTTTAAAATTTTTTATCATTTAATTTCCATAATAAAATATAATATTTCCAGCATATTGACTAAAATAGGGCAAAAAGAAAGAGAAAAAAAATTAGGTTTTAGGGGATGAAAATGAAAAAAAAAAAAAAAAAAAACAGAAGAGAAAAAAAGTTTTGGTCTGGTTTAAGATTGAAGTATGCGTTTCTTTTTTTTTTTTTAAGGTACGGAAAAGAACACCAAGAAATTTGGAAATTTTCTATTTTCTATTTAGCTAGGTGTAGGACTGTATTTTTTATTTTTTTAAAACTAATTTTACAACATATATATATATAACTGTCTTGTGATAATATTTTTGAAAAATAAAAAATAATTATTATATGTATGAATGTATGTAATTTCATATGTATATAACCTTTTTCATAAATATTCTAACAATTATCAATCACCAAAAAAATCAAACCCTATTCTTTCTCTGCAAATGAATGCATGAAATAAAAACTTCCCAAAGGATCCTATGGATATAAAGGTTTTTAACCACTTCAATCAAGGTAGGATCAGAGGCAAATTAAGGGTCCCACAAAATAGTTGTCTCCCAAATCAACGGTGTGGGATCCACTTACTTCGTCAGCTTCCACCACTCAACGTACACGCCAAGGACAGTTGAATATTCCTTCGCATAGGATACGTTCACCTCCGCCATTTACAAATTTATCAGATTAATATCTTATTAATTACTTTGAAGAATAGACTAGAAAAAAAAAATAATGATGATATGTAAGGAAAAAATCCAAATCAAATCCCACTTATGAATGATGATCAAGTTAAGTGAACGTATGCCCTTTTCTGCTGATAGGTTAATTTTAAAATTAATTCTTGGATCTTATTTTAATGGAAAATTTGGCATCTAGGTTGACAATGAGTCTCTTAAAATTGGAATATATCAATTTTTTTTGGATCTTATTGGCCAGGCCAGAACCCTCTTGGATGTGCCATTTTCACTGTCATGATCTCATGCACTTGATCAACTATAGGATTATGCTAATTAATTTGCAAAATCATTATTCAAATTATCCACAAAAGTTAAGGTAAAGGTTTAATTACATTGAATTTGAAATCAAATATGTGAATCTCTCTCTATCTTGGGTCTATAAAAGTAATATGAATTTAAATATATACCATTATTGTGTAAAAAAAACTATAAATTTAGAAAAAAAAAATCTAATTATACATTTTAATTAGTCAATGCATATTAACACGACTCAAATTTGATATTCATATAGTACATAAAAGGAAAAATTTTAAATATAATATATTAAAAATAAATGGTATGATAAGAACCATTTTAGAAATAAATTAATCATTAACCCTTCTCAGTAAAAACAAAAGATATTTTGACTAAATTTGAAATTGATTTGATTGTTAACCAAAACACATCGCGTAAACTAAAAATTGTCTTCCTTAGATAACAATAGAAAAGGATGTAATTTTAATCGTATGGAAGTAACTTTGATTCGCTCACGTTAGCATGAAGATAAAGCTCACTAATTGTTTTATTACAATTTATAAGAACCATTGGTTTTAAATCCATTAATTGTGATAATGATATAATGGAGAAATGGAATCAATGGAATTATTATTTATATTTGGATTTAGATTAACGATGTCATCTCCACTTGTGTTTTAAGAGATGGAACTTTGGTAGTAATTGATAAAATAATTAATTATTTTGTTGAAGTGGGATTGCCACCACCTTGATTATTTGTGATTGATTGTTCACAAGGGTTCCCACAAACCATTTGCTTTGGGGGGCTGCTCTTATTTCTCAAGCAACTTTTCTCATAGGATCTTAATTAGTCATAATCCATGAGTAGGAATAAATTATTCTATAAACAACATTTATTAATTAATACATAGTAGAAGACAGTGGATAGCCTTTAATTTGAGTGGAATGAATAAGAGATTTAATCATTGGACTTGTTATTATTAGCTTCAATATAAAACAAAGGAAGCATCACTATCAAATTGAGTGGGATGATGTTTATTTTTTTAATATGATCACAATATTTCTTGGGTTTTATCTGGATTTTTTTTGAACAATTTTAAAAATGTGTTCTCTCACATCGGCTTGATGCATTTAAGATTTTATTTTTGAAAAGTTCTCCATAAAGATAACCCATTGAGAGCTGATTAGGATAATGTTGGAATCTATAAACGTAACAACAAAAAATTTTAGAGGAAAAGGGGGTAGGGAGATAAGCACATGTTCCCTAGATGGATGGAAATATAATGAGATTATGGTATCCCTGCCCCAGCTAACTCATTTTTCAAATAGATATATAACATAATTAATAGTACAATCCGAAAGTGCATGGATTAAAGAATGAGGAATGAGATACCCCAAACGAACATGAAATGTATGGGACATATTCATGTATTATATATATATATATAGTACTACAAAGCAAACACATGGACAATAGGAGAAATGATAAAGCGACAGAAAATATAGTAATGTAGTTGTCAGAATAATCCAAGTAAGACATGAAATTTCGATCCTTAAAGTTTGTATTATTCACAAACACTGTCAATTTTTCGACCCTTTCTTTGGATTTCGGATGATACAATTATTGTTTTGCAGAAGTATTTAAACAATTAAGGTCATTGTAAGCGAACAGTACTTCCATAGAGTGTGAAGGTTCACTTAGGATGTGGTTGGCTTGTGATGAAAGACCTACAGATAATAAAAACTGAAAATGAAAATGCCCACCACTCTCTAATAAAGGAAAGAACATGAAAACACAAATAAGATAACACCTTGTTAAAGTTATTAGGTGGCTGATGGATCCATCACCAATGTTTTCTATATCTTTCTTAATTATTTGTAAACAATCAATTGGAAAATTTTAACCGTTGCCTATAGGCCCGGTTTAATATATATATATATATATATATATGAAGATATCAATTAGAATAAATTTTGTAATTAATACGCATTATTTTCGTTAAATTTAATCAAATATGGAGAATATTAAAAGTGTTCATGGATCAAGACGAGTTGGCCATGAAAACTAAGTTGTGATCAATAAATAAATGTATATAATTGGCCCTGTCATTTTCATTATGCACAATAGAAAGAGAGACTAACACCAAAGGGAAAAACCGATAAAGATGAAGGGAACTCTGTAGACCTAAATAAAGTATTAGAATTTTGCTTTGTCAATTTGAACCCTTAAAGCACACAATTATTGAATTAGCTATTTGCCGTGAAGGAAGTGAAAACATTTATAGCACCAAATTTCATTGTAAAGTTGTTAGCTGAAGTAGTTCATTATCGCTAGAATACTGAAAAGGAAAAAAAAGTTATTGATGTGTTTCATTGGTTCTTTTAATAAAGAGAAGAAACTTTTTATCAATTAGGTTCAGACGTTACAGTCTTTGTGACCAAAACTTTATAAAAGCAAAATTTTGAATACCAAGATTAGACTCAAACAAATCTGAAAATACCCTTAATTTTATTGCTAAAATATATATAAAAACATCTTGTAAAACATAATTGATTTATCATAGGAAAGAAAATATACATACACAATTTTTTTTTTATACATACCAAGAAAATTTGGAGAAGGACAGATTTGAAGTTTGAATTCATAATATTTAATGTTAGGTCAAGCTTTGGTTTATCAAATGCAATCATTTTGATTATTGGCTTAATAACTTTAAAAAATAATCATAAAGAAATAAAAAGAGTAACAGTGGCAATTTACTATTGAGACATATTTAAATGTCATACTAATCTGTACAATGCTTAAGCTAATCGTTAAAGCAAAGTCACAGTAATTACCAACTTTTCAACCACTACTTCTTTGATAATGGTAACTTAACTGCCAAAAGAGTAAACAAATGGATAAATATGGATGATGCTGGAAAAAACGATGTTGCTTCCAAAAAGAAGATGAGGTTTCAATTATTAAAATAGGATGATAAAGAAACCCTAAAAAGATGACAATGATGGCAAAGATTGTAGGAATTTTTTAAATTTTTGTGAATTTTTGCATTTTGAGTCATATCATTCACAGGTATATTCAAATGTAATTTACTGTTTCAATCATACAAATATTGAAAACCATTTGTGTTTAGAATATGCATATACTATTTGTATTACATATTCACACAGTATCAATTTTTTTTTTAAAACGATAAGAAATAGTTTTAGACTTTGTTTAGAGCTAATTTTTTTCTGAATAATCTTAAAGATACATTATTTTACATCAGTTTAATTAGTACATTGAAAATATTACTCACAGAATACTTTTGATAAAGATCAAACCCTAATCTCTTTCTAGCATTTTCTTTTGTCTTAATTTGCTCTTGTCTTATTATAATTTTAAAAAATTATAACTTAATAAAAAAATAATGAATTCATGAAAAATTATCTTGGTTTTTTTTAAGAGAGAGATCTGTTTGCAAATGTAACAATCATGTGTACAAATTATCGTTTTCAATTAATTTTAAGGAACATATGTCATACACGTTTAATAGTACCTTTGAATGATGAATATAGAACAGTGTTTTCAATAATAAGGATGTGAAGTGTGGACCAGTCCAACCAAATGAATTTCATTTTCTAGTCAAAAAGTTTCCTATACCTTTGGCCCCCAACTTTGTCAAAATTTACAAGCAAAATGGTTAGCATCACCAAGTTTTTTCAGCAAAATGGTCCAATTTTATGGAAAATCTCTTCAAAACTTTCATCAAACTTTATCTCTCACCTGACCCCACACTTTCATGAAAAAAAAAAAAAAAAAACTCTGATGTGATCCTCACAAAAGTCTCCATGTGCTTTGCCCTGGAAAAAGTTGGCAACTTACCGGATTTTGGCTCAATCCCTCACATAAAAGACCCAAGCTAAGGACACTACCCAACAACAAGACAGGGCCCTGCATACATATCTCTTGTTTGTTAGCCAAGAAAATCCACAATCCTTACATTTCATTTTCCTTACAAGTAACTGATGATATGATTTTACGACGACTGTACTTCTCATCATGTTAAGAGAGAAGTCAATTTAGCAACTTCCTGACAAGGAAAAAAAATTGTAGCTAGGTGATATTTTCACCACTGATTTTAGCTGTCAATTTCGGACGAATCATAGTGCTAAAAACGCTGTCCAATCAGAAGATCAATGTACATGAAAGAAAAAAAAAAGAATCTAGCAAGAGCACTTGAAGTATTGGTGGCACCCCAGCTTTTGATAAAATTCGTCGCTGAGAATCATTATGATCATTGCTTTGTCTACCTAATGGCATGTCGACATAGACCTGAAAGAATGTTGCTTGTTTCGCTTGGAAATGGCAAAGCTATCTTCTTTGCTAGATATGGAGGTTCAACTTTCTCATCATTTTATCCTTTGGATTCCCTCCGTTTGCTTTGCAAAGAAGACTGCAGCTGATAAACTGAAATAAATTACTCACTTTATTCTTTGCATAAATCAAGACCAAAGAGAGAATTTAGTCTATTTGTCAGTTTCATTCTGATGAAGTTAATGATTTTTCACAGGAGGAAACAGTGCTAATGGAGTTGCTCCAAACATGAAAAAAAAGATCCGGAATTGACTTGTTTTGTCCACTCAACCAACTATTTGTAGTTGAAAATTAATCAAGCAGATTAGTCAACTGTCCTGCCATTCATTGCAAAACCACAACTTCACTTAAAAATCAAGTCTTCCTTGGCTTATTCATTCTGTAAATATCACAACTCAAAATCCTTCCAACGACTATGCATCAATCTCACTCCTCAGAATTGACTTGATTTTAATACTGTTGTAATTTTGTAGGAATTGACTTATTTTTTTTTACGATCTGCTAATAATTCTCTCTATACCACTTCAATTGCAAGAGCTTCTTCCATCAGCTATCTAAACCTTCCAGTATATATGACATTCCTCCTTAAACTTCAAGGATCTCTCACTAACGATCATGTCATGGCATGGTAATTATTTCCAACAGGAAACAAGCTGAAAAAGACAGGGAATAAGTCACTCAGCACCAAACAAGGGAAAAAAAACACAGGCACTCAATGCTTGTTAAGCTATTTGTAGTGAGAGAACGGTTGAGAGCTAAGATATGATATCTGTGGAGGCTGAGTCAGTAATCGTGAAGGGTAGTGACCAAAAAGAGAGCCAAATGGGTCAGAGCACTTGCTCCCTAATGCACAGACATTGAATTCACAAATTGATTCCCTGGAGACACGGCTACTCAAGAACCAGAGCCATGGCCCCCACCACCTCCAACCCAATCCAATCCCACTAGGGCCATTGTAATTCCTTCCCTTGTCACTTCCTTACCATAACGTGGCCTTCTTAAACCAGCAGCGGTCACAAATAAAGACCCACTCAGCCTTAGCCAGTGGATAACTGTCCTTTTCAACCTTTCCTTTCAGCTTTTTTTTTTTTATTACTCCTTTTAGATAACCCGGTAAGGTGACGCACAATCTACACAGCTTGTAGTAGCACCACCACTTATGCTTGGAGATGGAAGCAATTACATGAAAGTAAATTTATTAATCTCATATTTGTATGTTTCCCTCCTTTTTTTGACCCTCAATTGATCATAAAATTTAAATTACTGATAGCATCTTCTTATCAATCTCACACCTTGGAACGTAAAGGAAATTGCTACCGTGAACATAAAGAGATCCTACAAGGGAGGAGTCTTATCCCATAGGCAGTACTTGAGAGACAAGAGTGAGCAAATAAAAATGGAGACGTCTTCCAAGACACATACAATAGCTTTATTGATGCAATCCGACAAATTGACTAAAACAATGACTAGATTTGAACAGGATAATTTCACCAAATCAGATCTTTCAATTTGCCAATATCTATTTGTAGCTCCCCTACAACCCATTCACACAAAATACCATAATTTAAGCGGATAATTTATTGATTCTAATGGTTGCAAGTATGCTAAACATCCATAATGCCAGCACAGGGAGAGTCCTAGTCAAAAAAAATCAAAAAAAAATTAACTGACAAGAATAAAAGATACTGGGAACTATATATGGTCAATCTTATTGGCAACGCCTACAAATTTATTTCCGTGTCAAGTTCAATTGAACCAAATGTTCTACCAACGACAATCACGCTTGTTACTAGACAGCTGCTAAAATCAAACGCCCTAAACAAACCATAACCAAAGAAACAGCACAATATGCTATCACGGGCAACACTTGGATTGTGACTGAAGGCAAATTCATACAGAACATATCATCAATGATAAGCTTGTAGAAACTGGGTAGGATTAATGAGTACTAGTAGCTGGCTAGATCCTCTCAATCCTCATCTTTATGCTACTATTAAACCATTTGAGAGGAAAAGAACAAAAAGGTTGGAAGAAGAAAGCAGCGGCCATGGTTGCGAGTCAAATGTGGAAATACATTATATTTGGCTTAATTGTTTGACTGCCCTGACCTCCTTCATACATCCATCCCGACTTTTGTAGCCAGTAATTTCCTCCAAATTGATGCACCATATTGCACACGGTAATACATCCCATGGAAAATGGAAGGATGCTTATAAATTTGAGATCATGAAGCATCGAGTGAAACACCAATCAAGGAACTATAGCAAAAATCTTTTGTTTCCAGATATGAACCCAAAAATTCCCAGGAAACCAACTGATGCAGCAGGAAATAAACTGAAAGTGGACAGCACTCATGCATGGTTAACCAAAATAACATGAAAAATGCGGGCCACAAATGGTCAATAAAGATTTTTTGAAGCTGACTTAATCAGAAATCTTAACATTAATGCAGATCAAAGGGCAGAATCATCCATGTCAATTCAATGGAATAAACTAAGCAAGCACCAGTAACTGTCTGAAATACAAGAAGCAGCTTCTTTAAGGTGACTCATAATACATGAAAGGTGAAGGTATGTTTTAAAGATAGCAATAGCCAGTGGCTTGATCTACACGAAATTGAGAAGACTTATATCGATAGTCCACATATCTGCCGGGATGATCATCACTTTCCACTGTTAAAAAAAAAAAACAATTTAACATGTCAGAGGGAGAGAGAGTGAGTAAGCGACTGTGTGTGTAAGAGTTTATTTCAATTCACTTACCTATTCATCATAAGAGTTATATTGTCACCTTTAAGAAGAATCCTTCCTGAAAAAACAAACAAATAAATAAACACGACGATATGTATACAATAAGGCAGAACAATAAGAGTATGACATTTCACCTAATGACTTTCTGCTCTTTTTCTTGATATTAACTTCTTCAGCATCATCAAGAACCAAATTCATGTACTCATCAAAGCCCTGTAAAACAACAAAAAGGGCAATTAAGAAGCTGATTATTAAGATTATCAATAAGATTATATCTCAAAGTGCATAAAAGAGTTAATAGTTTTTTGTCAGTGAAATTAATTTTCCAAATTTGAGAGTCATACCAATAATAAACATTATATATGTATACATTTAAGACATGTTATTTCTTTGATGCATTCTCACATTCTGTTGCACTGCACAGAGACAGATTCACTGTTGATTCATTTTATCCCAAGCATATATATATATATAATATATATATTTATATAAGGTTCTCATAGCCTCATCCAGCATGCTTACCTTTCTTGAGTCAAGTAATTAACCAGTTAACACAATATCACTAGAACTGTAGAATAGTCACCATAGGATTAATTATGAGATCTGGAGCATCATCCTTATTTACCTTAGCTATATGGGGAAGGAACATTTCAAAAACATTGGGGTTGATGGACTCAGATCAAGAATTATTAAAGAGATTCCTTGTCAAAACCTTTTTTCATCAAGCATTGATACCATATACCAATTATGATATATGGGACTATTTTTTTCTTAAATTAGCCAAATGGCCATTGTCACCATCTATGTTGCTTGGACTCAACATTTTCAATGGAGCATCCATTTCAACAAGACTGGAAACAAACATGAGTCACCTTTGTCCTCACTTCAAACCCTCTATAACCACATCCCCATGTCTTCAATTTCATGTAGTTTGAATCCAAAACACTTAGATACATACCTGAATCCAACAGCCATACCCGAGTCTGAGCAACATAGTTACATAGGTCAGCACATCACCTTCAACAATCTGCCTTATTCTTACTAGCTACAACACACTACAACATCTGATACCCTTGTATCACCCACTCATTTATTCTCCCACAAACATTAATACCTTCATGCTTCGTTGAGCATTACATCATGTCATATCATCCTAAATCTCACTTGTCCTGCCACACTAGAGCTTTCTAAAGAGCTTCAGCTTTTGCTTTTCCTTTCTTGACCATGTCTTTCTCCTATAGTACGTATGCAACGTTACACCTTTTAATATGAGGACAACCTATTGTTTTTTATGAATTCTTGAAATTTGTGAACCAGATTTCTCCATTTGTAGAATAAGAAGCAAGCAAGTGTTCAATTGCTATCAAACTTGAGTAATTTAGTCAGCCAATGAAAAGTTAGACACTCCTATATTATAAGATTTTAGGCCCTAAATAATCTTCAGAAGAAATTAGTAGTCTTCCCTCTTTTGAGCAACCCCAGAACTTTATATTTAGGATTTACAAGTTTTGTCTATGCAGTTATGCATATATGCAAGGGGGGGAGGGTTTAAAATTTCAGTATTTATGCCTTTTTCTTCGTAGGAATTTAAACTTGCCAACTGTGTAATTTTGAATATATATAGCTAAAGATTCTTAGTTCCTATTAGTTTTATTTGCTTGAATAGAAAAAAGACACAGATGCTTTTGACCTTGCTTCATTTTATAGCACCTTTTTATTTTAGCTATGGTCTGGATAATTACTCAAGAGTGTTCTAACTGTTACACTGGTTCAGATTGGTTGCCAAAGGAATGTTTGAAGTAACTGTTTTAATGGTTTTGCACACTTATGCAACCAGAAATAAGGAATACCCCAATTAGTGCATAAAGCAAAGAACACTAATTGCATATCAAGCATATACACAGTACTTAGCACGATCAATGAGAAATCATAAAAATGTTCCATGAAAAATCATAACTGCTTAGCAGTAATTCAGAACACAAGGGATTAAAAACAGCAACGAGACTCATGCAAAACCAAAAATAGCTACAGTATTTCTATGAGACAAAGATAATCCATAACACTGTTCTTAACATTTATTAGTCTAAGGTATAAGCTAAACTAAACACCTAAGGGGACACTTCAGCGGTTAAAGCTTGAGACTATCTTGGAGGCCTGAGTTTGAAACCTGCTTTGAGCAGGGTGGGATTTCCCTTCTACCCATTGTGTAGTCCAATATCACTTCTACCCAAAAAAAGCTAAACTAAACTAGAATTTCCTGAGCAACAATTTGAGGCAGCAATTAAAATAACACAATTCAATAAAAAATAAAATCTTTACCACAATAGGTAGCTTTAAAACTGTTTATTTAAAGAAAGTTATACATAAAACTTACAATGATTCGGCCTTCAATCCTCAAATCTTTCTGCTCAAAAAGCCAAATTTGAATCCGAGCTTTCTGAGTAATTTCGAATGGACAAGAAAAGAAGAAAAAGCCAAACAACCCATTAACAAACAGGCAAAACCAAGCAAACGCAGAAAAGAAAAAGAAGGAAATGTTGCTTGAAATAGAGACTTACACTTTGGAGAAACCTGAAGATCAGGTTCTGTTGCCGCAGAAAAACCGAGCAAGGAAAAAAGAGAGAAGTAAATCAGTAAATAGGGAGACAGGTTATGAAAAATAAAGGAAACAATGAAAGAGGAACGTACGATAGGTTGCGTCATGATTCTCTGGACTTTGGTGCTCGCCATGGCTGTTGAAAACTCGACGGCGTTTTTCCCCTTTGTCGAAAAGTTTGAGCAGTTGAGGTCTTAAACCCTAGCTTATAATTGAGCGAGAATTTGCCTTTAAGGAAGAAAAAGAAGCCGCCCGACGCGCCCTCTGAAACTTTTTACTACTCTCTTTGTCCACTCTCGAAAGTAAGCCTGCCATTGGGTCCGCCCGATTTGGGCCGGCTCATTGAGAGAAATTTTCAAATTTGGGTTTGGTCCGATCTAACTGACATATTATTTAATTTTAATTTTAAAAATATATTTAAAATTATTATTCTATCAGTATCATTTATTAGTTTGATCTTTTACTTTACAGAAATTTAAAAATTTTCAAGATAAACTTTAAATTTCATTAATTATAAGAGTTTTTAAAGGATGCACCGCTTTAGTTTGAGTGACCAGGTAACCAGTAAAACCTGGTTAGGAAGCTTGTAAGCATAACAAAATATGTCAAGGATGCACCACTTGAAACGATAAATATAATTGACTGCAAATGAATTTGATACGATTTAGATATGATAATTTAAAACATAATAAAATAACATAATATGAACATAATAAGATACAAAAATAATATGATGTAAAATTTTTAAAATAGCAATATATTAATTTAACAAAATAACAAATATATATTTTATATTTTTATATTCATGCAAATTGTAATACATTCATATAAAATATTATACGAATACATAAATTGTAAAGTCTACAACAGATTCCGTATTCCTAAGTATTTTTTTCTCTTCTCCGTGCCCAAATTCCTAGTCCACAGCGAAAACAAACATAATTTACAAGCACTTGGTTGAAAAACGACGCTTTACATTGATGCCATGCGTTAAGGATTCGCCAATGTCACTCTCCACTGATCATTAGCGACTCAAAAGGCACCCTCTTGATTTCCAAGAATGTTGAATAATCCTTGCTCATGGGCTGTTTCCATGGTTCCCCATCCATCTGCATATATGCATCTTTCCACTCTCCACCCCTTATCTCTAGTCTAATCGATGCAGCCTGAAAAAGATCAGTAAAACTCATCAACATACCACACTTTCAGAAGACCAATCCCTGAGAATACAGATATTTTTCTTCCCCAGGGCACTTCTTCAAAGCCAATCTTAGGCAAGCAAGACATTAGTAACTATCATTATACTTCTGCAATCTTATGTTTAACCACCTTTGACTTGTTATGATCAATACTACATAAGTTACAGTACCTGCGCAATGTGTTTTGCAGATATGAGTTCAACCATTACAAATGACGCATGCCATCCTTGCTTTAAGCCAAAAATTTCTAGAAGACCATCATCGGCGTGGGCCTCAACAAAGCCTCTCTGAAAATTGAAGGCAAACATTTTAGATTTAGAATTGAATCAAGTTTGTCAATAAGTTTAATTAAGCAAAAAGATTGAGTACCTTCCAACTCTCCATCAACCTAGGAATCATAACTAAGACATTGATCTTACACCATAAGCACAGGCCTCAAACTTTAAAGAAATTATGTTTGATGTTTCAGAATGTTTTGTGGAACTATGATTTATATTAGAGAAATATCTTTTCATCACCTGTCATTTTAAACTGAGAACATTTCAGCTTTCTTGGTTTTATTATAATTACATTTGATTAAAAATCATCAGGATCAAGATTCTATTTCCAAGATCTATAGATTAAATGAACACAAATTGCCCGGATTTCAGAGATTGTGGCCTAAAAATTTTGAATTCTGAAGTAGGTTCAAAGCTCCAATCTTAGAAAAGAGCCAAGCTGAAGCTGTTTTCAATTGCAAAATAAAGTAAGCAAACACATTTTTATTTCCGTTATGGAGCCAGAACAAATTATATTGCTCAGCTTTTAACATCCAAGTCCGACCATCAAACATAAGCAAACAGTTCAAGGGGGGGGGAGAGAGAGAGAGATTATAGTATGAACTTGTACAAAAAGTAATATTAGGGAACCTGAAGAAATGTACCATACCTTTTCCAAATACTCTGGTTTTGGGTTACCCCATGGATTTCGCCCACTTCCATAATTATGAAGATTTAAAGCAACAACTGCCCTCACACTAAAACAAAATAGCATAATTAGAGGCTGATTAAATCATAAGCCATAACAGGGGTAGAAATATTCAACCTATCTATGTATCTGATATCATAGTAAGTTTAGCAATACTGCTTGTTAAGCAAGAGGTTCAATAAAAGAAATATTATGGATGCACAGAAATCCAATGTATATTGTAGTTACATAAGAATCATGAAGGCTAACAGTTGATAAGTAACAACATTGACTGCCAAAGAAGATGCCTAGAACAATTAAGATGCTTATGTATCACATGATAGAATTAAAAACTTTGAAATGTACCTTTTTGGGACTGGAATCTGCTCCCATTCCGAGCAATTGACCCTTTTAATATGTATCCTTAAAACGTTCTTGAGTCCCCTTCATTTAGAAACATATTTTAAATATATTCACTTCAAAAAGAAAGGTTGTTCACAGAAAAACACCGTTAACAAGAAAGAGAGGCACTTTCTTCATAGGATTCATGGATTATTTCTTCTCAGCTAAACAAAATATGTATCAAAAATCAACTTGTTGGTTTAACTGAACAGGCATTTGAAAGCATATGCATTATAATTGCGATGATTGTTTTTATTAATTTGAGAAACATTAAGACATAAAAATAACGTGGTTAAAGGCAGAAGACACCTTCAAGGTACAAGGACTTTTGTATTGCCTGAGGCAAAAGAGCAAAAAAGGCATTTGCCCGAGCAAAGCAAGGTGCTGATATAATGCAAAGGTAAATGGAAAATAGCACCCTTTTCATTTTGTATAAACATACATATATGTTAATTCGAAGTAGAGTTTTAAAAGATAAAAAAATTTGTAGAGAGACACTTAATGCCTAATGGAGGCATGTCAACCCTCGCCTTCCAAAGCAATGTTCATCAGCATCAAAGCCTTATGCTTGGTAAAAGCATTTTTCAGCCTTGCCCTCAGCACCAAGGCCAATGCCTTGGCTACACTGTCTAGGAACAATCAAACTTTAGCTAAGTGATTGTTACATTTAAGGCACTTCATTTCTTGTGCCTTGCCTCGGCAACAAGGCCACGGCCAAGGCCTTGGCTACAATATTTAAGCAGCAATCAAACCTTAACCAAATGCTTGTTGTACATACAAAGACACCCCAACACACATAGAAATATGCATATCTTTGTTATTTAGAGAATGGGATATGTCCATTATAGGTTTAAGAGGCAAGTTAAACAAGTATAATAATATCTAACCTTAAACTTGGATCACTTATGCAAGGTGTGAGAAACCAACCCTGAGTGCAACTGTAACTGGAGTAGATAATCTGCCACAAAAGTTGGACCAATTACAATCTAATATTAGCTTTACCAAAGCAAATCATAGACCGGGTCAGAGAAACTAATAATTTGAATTTTTAATGCAAAGCAGCACACTGCAATTTAACTTAACTTTAGTGAGATCAGTATTATCTTTTGTGTAAATCCTAACGAAAATAATGGGAGAAAAAAGAAAAGGTCCAGCATATTGCATTTAAGTTACATCCAAGCATATGCCCTGATATTGGATACATCAGCACCAGAACTTCATAACACTTTTACTTGCTAGGAAAGCACAAGGTTAAAACTGGGACAACATGAAATGCTCCTATATAGAAAAACATACAAGACTTTCCTACCAGTTTTATGTTGTAGGTTCATTTTATTTCTAGCCTTTCATGGATCCTCCTAATTCCATGTCAAAGAATGATGAGCAGAAAATATTAAAATACAGTATTAAGACTGAAGTGCAGAATATTTAGTCACAAAAAGAACAGAATGAGGAAAAACTTCAATTTATATAGGCAAGAAAATCACTAATATCATCTGGACATATAATTCTTTAGATGATCCATACATGTGTAGCAGATGGCAGTATTGCCATTAAGCAACTTCAAAATAAAAAATATACATTTGATAGACAGTATAACACCTAGAGATTCAAAGCAAAACATTCTTCAACTTAAAGTCAAAGAAGTAAAAAAATCAAAATACCTTATTTGTAATAGGACCTTGAGCAAGGTAAGGTTTCTCATTACGTAAATGATGGAATCCATAAGCAACTTTTGCATCCATTCCTGAATGTAAAATGAAAACAAGAAGATTCTTAAGAACCAAAAATAGTAACGATAGTAATAATAATAATAATAATAATAATAATAATAACAATAAACCGGTATACTATACCTATGCTAAAGTAATTAAAGAATACTCCTTCATAACATTTCACTTTGTCAGGAACATCCCCCTCAATCTCCAAAGTCTGCAGTCACAGACAAAGTTTTCCCATTTGAATTTGAAATTCCACATCATAAGATCAATAAATCACAACCAAAAGAAAATTGGATTTAGAATAAAAAATAACATTAATGTTTCATGTCTAAGTAACCAGATGGTAGACCAGGCTGAATACTTAGAAAGAACCAGTTTTAGATATATAATGCCACAGTTCATTTGATAATATGCAATTTATCGGATTAAATCATTAAAGCATATGTTGATCTATGACCTAAAAAGTACTCTTTCTTTCCAAAAACTTGTCTCTATAGTTTTAACATCAAGTAAAGATGGAAGCATTCCAATAATACCAATTTAAGTAACCTAAAGACCAAAGTCTATAAATTAGATAGGCTAACAATTTATTAACCTTCAAAGGACTAAATTAAGCATCAATGTTTGTTCACACATAAAAAAATAGCCATGCAAGTAAAACAGAGGATTTAAAGCAGAGAGATCACTACCTGATCAAGCTGACACTCTTCAGTAACCTTCAAAGAATGGGGAGGATTAACAGCTACTCCGCCAGGCATTTGCAACACAACATGCCAACTGCATCATCAAAGAAGCAATTACAGATATAACAGCAAAATAGGGTATATATAACAACTATGTCTCATGCAAACCCATTTTCAATTATAAGAAACCAATACATACACTGAGACCTTAATAGTGGATCATGAAACTTCTAAAAAAAATGCAATCACCTAAAATCCATCAGTATGCTACAGCAAAACGTGGTACTAATCATCATGTGATAAATGTATACTCACCTATCTAGACGACAAATTCGACCCTTAGTAGCTCTTTGCAGAGTTCTTTTAATTGCCGATTTCCAGGCAAAAGGAAAGGAACCTCCCTGCAGTGAACATTCAGAGCATGAGTTAACAAAGCAAGAAAAGAAACCAGTAGACAACATCAAAATTTTAAATTCAAAGGAATATCTTACCCAACCAAAACTTCTAGACAAGTCATTGCCTGTACCAAGTGGAATGATAGCTACAGGAGGAACTGGCTCCCGACCCTTTTGATGAAGTTCTCCAAGACATCCAAGTACCCAACCAATAGTACCATCACCTCCAGCAACCTGCTCATTCATACAGAGTCTTACAATATCAGCTTGGAATGTTCGATCTGTTAGTTACTTTTGCTAGAAAAAAGAAACATACTACAACTCTAATGTTCTGCCGTGTCTCTCTTGCACAGAGATCTCCGTTGTTAGCCCACTTCTCAAGGCAAGCCAGTCCATACCGTACAAATTCAAGCGGTTTCACATCGTGGAGGTCAAATACCTGAATTTCCATAATTATAAATTCTTGAAAATATATACAAAAATAAGTCTTTAAAAAATAAAGGGAAAAAAAGTGTTACCTGTTCTTCGCTGATTAATTGCTTTAGACGCTCTTTAAGGACAGGGCCATGGCGGCCGCCGCTACGGGAGTTAATAAAAACGACCATAGGGGATTCAGAAGAAGAAACACTGTCGGAGCCACGTAAACGGAAATGCTGGTCACCGCCGTCGACGTCCTTTTTCCTAATGGAATCCAGCATCGCAAGACGTAGATACTGAGGCATCAAAAGCCTCCGTCTGAGCTCTTCCTTGTCGATCCTAACACCGGCTAAGCCCGAGAAGCCGCAAGCTCTTATCAAGTCCAACATTGAGGAACGAACCACGATCCGTGCCGTCGATGAATCCATATTTTCCACAATCTTATTCTCTTATTTTTGTTTTTCCGTTTTGTTTTAAGTGCCAATCCCATACGGAAGAAATTACTCGACGCCACTGAGACAGCTGAGATTTGCTCTACTTTCTGTCGGAACAACAACTCTCCATTAATGTTTTTTTTTTTTTACTGTATTAATTAAATTAAGTTTTGAATTATATTATTAGATAATTTTAAAGATGTATTTTTCATTTTAAAAATAAAATTTTAAATATTAATTAAAAATGAATTTTTTACGAGTTGGACTAATTTTATTTTTACTGCTTTGAATAAAATAAAAAAGCAAAACAGTAATTTCCGACATGGATATATGTTGGTAGTTGTGATTTTTCAATGCCAACGCCACCGAATTTATTACAAGTGGGCTCCAGCAACTATTCAACTGCATGTTACATCAATTAAATAATAAGCCATATATGGTCTTCACTTCTTTCATAAACTTTAAAAAAAATAAAATAAAGCTTCAGAAAACTAATGATAATAAAATAATTTTGAGTAGCTGTATAAACTTATATTCTAAGAGAAAGAGTGTCAAACACTTGGTGGTCGACATTTAATGGAGATGGAGAATCAGCTGAGGAGGAGCGAAAGAAGGTGGGCAGGGATACGGCCTAAATGATATATAAGTATTTAAAAATTATTTAAATTTAAATAATTTAATTTGTTAATTGAATTGAATTTGAATAGGTAGTAAGTTTAATCAAAATTTTATATTTTAATATATTTTTATTAATAAAATATTTTAAAATAAAATTCAAAATTAAATATAAATAATTAAGTTTTTATTTAATATAAATTTTAAATTTAATTTTACATATTAATTAAATCTAATAGAATAAGTTCGAATAGTTATATTTTTATTTTGAATTAAATTTGATAAAAAAAATTGATTAAATTCAAATTAAATTTTAAATTTTAAATTTAATATTATATTAATTCAAACTCAATCTAAAAAAATTTAAGACTGTCTTTTTGTGGCAAAACACAATTTCTTCAATAAAGAAATTATGGACGTTCTACTTGTATCACAAAGTGGGATAAATTTAGTGATTAATTACTACAAAATAAAAAAGAAAAATATATGAGAAAAATTAGGCAAAAAAATGGTTACCCAACTATAAAAGTAGTAAGTATTGTTTTTAATAATCATCAAATTATTTTGTTTCTTTTTTTATGGATCATAAATATAATGTTTTTCAACCTACCAAAAACAATCAATTGCAAAATACTATGTTTTACAATTATGATGAGATCTTAAAACTTCAAACTACTCTCTTAAATTCTATGGGGGAATAAGTTAACTTTGGTTGACAACAAAATTAATTTCTTTTAATCAAATCACTAACACTATAAAATGGGTGGCTTGAGCTATGGATGGTTTGGACTTTGGAGTTCTTGAATTGGATTTGGGACCATTCTATTTAGGTTTAGGTTTTACATTAGAATAAATGACATGATCAATCTTCAGCTTTTCCATGAATTAATGAAACATGTCCTTTTTTAGCATTCATGTCACATATGTGTCATATGATTTAAATGAAAGTTGTTTTCATAGGAAGAAAAGGCACATACAACATCTACTAGCTAAAACGCTGTCTCATTCTTAAATCACAGCCTCTATATATACACGTATAGAAAGCATATACATGTTCTCTCCAGCAAACACTTATTTCAAAATCTATACAAATGGTTGCCAATGAGATCTTATATGGAAGAAATTTTGGAATCGATAAATTTAAAGTTTAAATCTCATAATATGTGATCCAATTTAAAGACAGACTCGTCAATTTTGGTCTATTGAACTTTGTTAAGATGTGTTAATTACCAATTAATCCATATTAACAAGACCCTGATGATATAAAGTGGATTCATGACATATTCATCAGCCTCTTCAGAAGATGTTTTAGAAGATATTGATGAATGAGTTGATCACTTCCTTTCAGACCAGTTCAAATTTGATTTAATTTTTAATTTAATGATTAAATACAAAATAATCTTTGAGCTGAATTTAGTGTTTGTTTAAATATTTTCTAACATTTTATTATGAGAATCAACATTAAGAGTACTAAGAATTGGAACAATGTCTGTCAGGCTACAAAAAGCAAAGGGTTATTTGAGTTTGTCTTTCCACATCAAGTAATTGCAACGTTTTTGATTACCAAATGGGATGACAGATGAAAGATGGACTTTCTCTACAATCACATTGCCATTGCAATCGATTTCGTAGGAGAAGTCCATTCCATCCAAAATCAGGTGATAAATTACCTCTCCAGAGGCTGCCAGTTCTTCACCTCCTTGCCCTGAAGCTTCTCCATCTTGGAAATCATCCAAATCTGAAGTATTATCTGAGGTATCACCATTTCCTGTCTTGAGGAGATTATCATGAGGTCGATTTTGTTGAGATAGTGATCGAATATCCCAAGAGAGGACTTGCTTGACCAAACTTTTTAGCTCATCTGGTGATGAATAGAGAGACTTGTTCTCCTGAAACAAACCAATTCTTTTGGATCAACAAATAGCTTCCTACTGGTTCAAAAAACTAAAATTCTTCCAGATAAACAACAAACAACCAAATCAAGCCTTTCAGATTGGCTGCCTGGAATCCACATCATCAAGCTTTATTTAGAACTATAGAAAAACACCAGCATACTTACCATTGCTTTCCAGCAGTCCTGGAGTGAGGAAGAGAAGTCATCGGAGAAGCTAACAGAAGCAACCGATAATATACTGTCCACCTGAGCAAAACTTAGGCATACTTTAGAAGAAATTGAAGGCAGATACATATAATGAAATGCATGGAAAAGGAAAGCTGGTGGGTGGCATATCTTGCTAGCAGTTACACTCTCAATGAGCAATTGAGCAGCCAAATGGTGAAAAGCACACAGCAAAAAGAACTTCAATTCTTATTTGTCAAGTATTTATGATTCCATAAGGGCATATTTTCTTAGCATGTTTGGATTAGTAGAAGAGGAAGAAATTGGATAAATAGTAGGACACAAAAATGATCTCAAGTGAAATTCAGTTTTCGCCAGTTGTTTAGACTTAGAATAAGTGCAAACAAGCAAAACAAAGTGATTTAACTAAATGGAGCTGCCAATGTAGCCTTGTCTCAATGCCAAGGAGCTCCTGGAACCTTTAGATCCTAGGTCCAAGTTCCATCATTTGTGGTTTTCATCCAACTTCATATTGGTTTGTGAGTTTATTAAGTTTTTTTTTCTTGAATATGATAGTCATATGACATATCATATGCGTTGAGTAATGCTTCATTGAATTGTAATTCTAATTGTAAATGTAATCTTGCACAAAAGAAAAACCTATAATGGAGTTTTTCACCCTCATTTTCAGTAGATTTAAAGGAGATACTCCTAAAATCCTACAGCATTACTTGATTAGTCTCATTTCTCTCCAAATCTCTCAGCTTCTGAGGAGAAATGAAAAGAAGACACCAAGAAGAATTTCAAAAAGAACCTAAAGAACCATAGAAGAGGAAATACCGTCACCCAGTTAGGTACGACTGCTCCTTCAATACTGTCACAATATGGTAGATATGGTTTGACGTCCAATACTGGCTGTTAAAAAAAAATCCATACAAGAAGCACAATTTATATTTATAGAATTACGGCAGAAAACGCATCAAACAGGAAAGAAGCAGATAAGGCCATCAATGATTAACTTCCAGTAAAGTCAGGAAAGGAAAGCTTACTGTTCCATCAACTAGATCCACTCCAGAGAGTAGAAGCATATTTCCTTGTACTGCCTCCACCTAAAATATAAAGATTTTATATTAGTTTTAAAGCTGAAAGTAAGATTGACATCCAAAGGCTGCTTTTGACAGAGATATCCATTCTACCAACTGGGACGAGAGATTCTCTGAAACATCACTAATATTATGGCTAAAGTAAACATGCTTATTGCAGTAGTTCTCATCCTTAAATATGAGAAACCATGCTCCAGGCATGGCATGCCAAAAGATCCACCAGATTATATTTCTGAAATGATCTTCCCTCAAGTGTTTAGAATAAAAGTTTGATCAGACATTAATATCTAGTCTAGTTATTTAAAAGTTTTAACCCCTCGAACCCATTTAATGCAGGTATCAATTGAAGGACCTTATAGATGAACGTGCTGTTGCATCAATAACACATCTGTCCAGGACTCTATACCTTTGCTACAGTGAGTCCTATAGGACATGGTCGATGTGGAGATCGTGTAGCAAAAACTCCCATCCTTCCACCTTTCAATCTCGGAACTCTGACCTATTAAAGTGACCAACCTTTCATAGAAGTTTAAAGATGATAAGAGAGTATCATAAGTGATAGAAAAAATATTAATAAATGTAACATTATTGCAGTGTCACAAACCTTGGCCTTAAACTTTGATTTAGATGGATGCTTCCATAACTTCTCCAGATCTGTATTTAAATGAAACACAAATATAATCCAGCAATGGGAGTATTCTTCAAGGCCCTCAAGAGATGCAGGAGGAACTCTAGCTGAATCAAAAACCAAACATGCCCTAGCAAGAGGGACTAGCAGAGGTTGCCTGGGGGTCCCATTCCTGCATAAATTATACATGGGATTGTTCATTTAACAGTATGCTTGACTAACAACAGATAAATTGGAGTCATGAAAATTTTCAGTTTGTAAATTAAAATTAATTTTTTTTAATTTAAATTTTCGTCAAGCAAGAAAATATTACAAATTAAAAACAACAACAATAACATCAAGAAGCACTAATGAAAAATAAATAAATCAAGTACTTGTAACCAAAATATAAATACAAAAGGTTGATTTAGAGATTACTAAACAAAATCCCATCTGAAATCACCTAGTAGAAAAGCAGGATTGGATGATACCAATAGGTGCCATAGGATACGATGTCATTTCTAAATTCTCAGACTTGGCTTCTGCCACTATTGCTTTCCTCAATGCCTACAAATATTTGTTTCCTCTTATAAGTAAATAAGGAAGAAAAGGGAAAACAACAGTAACATAAAGAACAAAACAAGAAAAGAAAGAGAAAGTGACAAGGAAGAACCTGCTGAGCCCTAATGCGACCTTGTCTTTCAGCAGCACATTTTTCTAAAGCAGAATTGAGAGATTTTTGAAGCTCTTTCATCTTTGAATCAGATTCGACCCACTTTTTCTTCCATATATAAACTGAAAGAAAGAAGATGAACATTCAAATAGCTATAAAATAAAGGCGAAAGTAACGGTAATAAATATAAAGAAGAAAAAGGTAGAGAGAAATGGTACAGGAGATTGCTGAGGAAGCAGAAAACACTGCAGCAACTGCCAACGCCAAGATTGAGCATCCGCTGGAGGCCATGGGTTTTGATAATTGGTGTTTGTATCTCTTCTACTCTTTCATCAAGTTCTGAAGTGGGGGTTTAACTTAAACACTTCCAGTTGCTAGTTGGGTAAGGTTTTAGAGCTTTCATGGGATGGAAGGGTGAAATCAAACAGAGCTAGAGCTTGTTAAAAACAAGTCTAGTTCGAATATTTATCAACCCAAACCCAAAACAACTTATGTTCTCAACTAGTATTTGTGCTTGAGTTTACTTTAAGGCCCGAACATGAGTGTGTTAACTGGGCCCTTTCTATTACATGCTGTTACTCGGAGGTCTGCTTACTTGCTTTCTTCTGTTTAAGCTGCCCGGTTTTGTAGGTGAAGTCAACTCTTTCTTTCTTTGTCTCTCTCCTCTCTCGCCCTGGGTTTTGCTGTCTAGTGGAGTTTCAGACTAGTCTAACTGTACTAGGTACTCTTCTCTTTTCCCCGTTTTTATGATAACATTTACTTATACATTGGGGCTACTCTTCTTCATAACCCTTTTGAGTTTTGGCACTCTTATTCTTTTCATCGTGTATATAAATGTAGACATGTTTATCTTTGGGCTTTTTACTTTTACAGACAAGCTTCAATTTGCTTTAAAAACCCATTCCATGAAACTAAATGAGCCAACGAGATATATGGATGTCAGTGGGAAACATTTTGTTTGTTTTCTTCCTTTTTTATTGTTTTGGGTCTCCAGTTTTGCTTATATTTCTGGATCTGCAGCCAACTTCAATTGCTATCTTGATTTCTTAAAATTCCAATGTTACATAGATATGGTTGAATTCTCTAAGGTTGATGCTTGTTTTGTTCATATTATTATGTGATCATTGCTCTTAAGTGTATAGACAATTTTTTTTGTGGGAACCCAGTTCTATTTTTGTAATTAACCATAAGTGAAAAATGTAAAAATTTGTTCAACTGTTCTAAGTTATAACTCTTTTAGCATCAGAAGAATTTTAAATTTTATAATGTTTTGTCTAGCCTAATCCCACAGACAACTGCAAAGTTCATGATAAATCATAAATTTGTGTATACATTACTTTGTTGATCTTCTATTATTGCTTGTCTTTCACTGTGCACATATCTTCATAAATGTATATTTTGGTAAGACTCAAGGAGACCTAAAGTCATGCCCAAAAATTATGCAGAAAAGTAGCTGGAATATTCGAAAAGTTAGCAACTTGCAGTTCTGAGAATTTAGATATGAAGAAAGATTGTTGCATTCAGGGGCCGCTGAGAGAGGAATTCACCTTTTCCGCTGCTTCTGCTCCCTTCAAAAGTTGTCATTCCTCTACTATTGTCGAGGTCATGCCTCTACCATTATCAAGATTAAGTAATTTAGTTATCTGAGCTTTTTGGTTTTTAATATATCGTGTTCCTTTCTCAACAGAATTTGACAGGTTTATTGCTTCTATGCATTTTGTGCAGGTGGATAAAGATCATTTTTTGGCTGCTTATTTTGGAGGTACTTCTGAAGGAGCACCTGATGTGAAAATTTGGTTGCAGAAATACAAGGTAATGTCTAACGACATGATAGCAGTTCCTTCACTGGAATTTTCCTTTGTCATTTTATAGGTTGATTGAGACGGGAAATATGTATTTTCAGCAGATGTAACTGCAATTACTTTTCTAGTTGTCCTCATAATGGTCATTACATATCCAGCATACATGTTTTGAGCTCCAAATTCAGTCTAGTGAGCTTAAGGAATGGTGGTTTAATCTAGCATTTTAGGAAAGGCCTTTTAATCTACCAAAAAAATGTCATCTTAACGACCAAGTGAAAAGCATTTTGAGATGTTTCTTCTTCTTTCCTTTTTCCTGCCCAGACTTGTTTGCTATGGTATTTTCCCTTGTAGTTGTGCTTTTATCCTTAAAGCTTTCATCTTCTGCTTTAATGAATTTTTGTGTGGAGAGTATGTGTAATTGTGCTTTGATCCTCGAATCTTGCTTCCACGTCTTATGCCATAACCTGTGTGCGTGGATGTGTCCATGTGCGTGCTTATTTGTGATATGGTACTCTTTGGATTTTAACTGAGTTGTACACCTTAAATGCATGAAAAATTGTTTTGGCAGGATGGCTGCTGGTATCCACCTGTTGCTATTGATGAAGAACCCAATGTTCCAATGTGGAACCCTGTGCTATTTAAACTTTCATCTGAGGAATTGTTGTTATTCTATAAAATAGGCCAGGAGGTTCAAAAGTAAATTTCTCTAACCCTTTTAGGGTTCAAAAGTAAATTTTAATCCTTATGGCTTTAACTCAAGTAGTCGTGATTTGGATAGAGATTTTAGGTTCAAGCTGTAAATGCTCTCTTCTTCTACCTACAGAAATAAAAGAAAAAGGAAAAGAAATATGACTAAGCATTATGAAGTTGTATTTGTTCTGTCTACATGTTATGATGTTGTCACAACTAATGTACATTCTTCTTACCTTACCTTATCTTACTGTTGGATGTAATTAAATCCAGGTGGAGCGGATGCATGAAGCGATCATATGATAAAGGTGTTACTTGGACAAAGAGAGAGCAACTTCCTCCTGGCATATTAGGACCTTCTAAGAACAAGGTTAACTATAATTTGTTATTACAGTTCATATATTTTAGTAATTTTTTCACTCATGAAACTCTGATAGAATATCCTTATCACGTGTCTGTTTGCTCATCTGCAGCCTATCTTGCTGGAAAATGGACTTTTGCTCTGTGGATCATCTGTAGAGAGTTGGAATTCTTGGGGGGCTTGGGTTGAGGTTGTGATGCTGATTCAACTACATCATATGTTAGACTCCGATGATGTTTGGAGATGCAGTTGACATATTTGATGATTCACATTGACAGGTTACGGCAGATTCTGGTATATCCTGGAAGAAGTATGGCCCTATATATGTTGAAAATAAATCTCTCAGTGTGATTCAACCAGTTCCTTTCCTTACTGCAAAAGGAACATTGCGTGTTTTGTTGCGATCTTTTGATGGAATTGGTAAAGTTTGTATGTCAGAATCCAATGATGGTGGCCGTAACTGGGATTATGCAAAACCTACTGAGCTTCCCAACCCAAACTCAGGTTGGTTGGTTAATCCCTGTTTCTTGGTAGTTTGGTTATGTGAAATAATGCCATTTGCATCTCTTAAAATTAGTAATTTGTTTTCTACAATTGTATTTCGTCAATTTAAATTAGTTATTGGTTAATGATACGAAAAAGGAAAGGAAAATCTTGCTTATTACCTTTCAAATTTTCCTTACTGGCTTATACCATGAGTTTCAATTCCTTTGTTAGGTATTGATGGGGTTAAGCTGAGGGATGGTCGTATCTTACTTGCTTACAACACTATCTCAAGGGGTGTGCTTAAAGTTGCATTGTCCGCAGATGATGGTGATTCATGGCAGGAAGCTTTGACACTGGAAGAGAATTTGGAAATGGAATTCTCTTATCCAGCTGTTATTGAGGCTAGTGATGGATCTGTTCACATCACTTACACATATAATAGGACCCAGATTAAGGTAACAACTTTGTTTCTAATATGTTATTTCCTTATGATTTCCATCCTGTAAATATTGAGAGCATCCAACAATCACAGATTAACTTCTGCAGAAATTTATTTTTGCAGCATGTTATCCTTCAACCAAATTGATTCAGTGATATATAATTTCCTCCTCAGCCAGGAAAATAAAAGGTAAACTATCAATCAGTGTTAAAGCCCAATGCATTACCATGTTTGAACTACTAGAACCCCTTTTTTTATTGTTGTAGTATGCTGAAATTTTATGTTTGGGTTGAATATTTTAATAATCATATGATTGTGCAAACTGTTAGAAACTTGGGATTTTTGTGTAGGACTATAAATTAGACCCGAAAGGATTTTTTTTTTAGCTCATCTCAGTTGGAGACGGGATTCCCTTGCCCATGTTAACAGATTTAACTAGTGTTCTTTCCAATTATCAAAGACGAAAGAGTAGTTCACGAAACCTCATCGTATCAGTTATCAGAGTCCAGCAGCAATAGAATTGTGATGTCTGCTAAAATATATTCAGTAATCCAATGGAAACGGCTTTGATCTTCATTTTCTGTCTGCTGCATTCTCTGGTTTTATCAGGGGATGTGGGATCAGCATCCCAGAGTGAGATGATGTCAAAACCGAATCGCCTTGTGAATAAGTGAACATTTTCGCTGAATCAGCCACGTTACCACGCATTTAATCAAGCATTCAGGTTTTGTTCCTACCGTTTTCCCACGGATGCTGAAGAAGGCAGCCAACTCCACTACTACCAATTATTGAATTTGTTACCTACCAAGAACAGTTACTGTCTCTTAAAGCAGTTCCCCCACATTTCTACCAGTCATTAACATCATTATATACATGTTAACATCATCCAAATGGTAGTCTCTCATACATTACGTGTATCACATGTAACATTAAGATCGAACGGTCACAAAACTCACGTTTTCCCCAACGATTTTCAAGAATCGCATCCATTGATCGAGTTTCCCTCTTCAAATTCCGCGTGACAAGAATTTCAAGAAAAAAAATTGGTTAGCAATTGATTTATTACTTGATATAAGGATCAAATGTTAAGAGAAGACTAGACAATTGATGATTTTGTCCCTTTCCATCAAATTCTTTTTTCTAGTCAACTACTCCATTATGCTGACATTAAACTATTCCATGTGAATTCCTGCTTTGCAATCAACAGAAAGGACAAAATAATACGCATCTAATTGTTTCATACAACTAGCTAGACCTAGTGGCCTAACATGGGTGACAAAGAATGTGACTACTTTGTTTTTGTTTTCTTTTGTATTTCTTAGACAATGCATAGCATTGCCAAACGCAGAAAGGTATGAAATGAAACGTCGATTCTTTTTTCATTTTTATGACGAGAAAAGAACACAATTTTTTTTTCCTCATTCATTTTTCCTTCTTTACCTAAATTAGCAATTTGAGAGAAAAAAGTAACGCACATGCATGCACGCATGATTGGTGAAGGATTAATTAGAGCTGATTTTCTTTGAAAAATGGTTGGCCATGTCTATTCTTAACATTTATTGCTCTGACATTGTTAAATGAAATGAATGAAAACAACTTGAGGCTAACCCCTTTACAAGTAAGAAATTCTTTCAAATTCTGAGCTAAGGTCCGGTATGAGATATCTGTCTATATGACAAATCAATTTGCGGCCATGACCACAAGTTAGCATACATATCAAATCAAATAAGCTAGGTTGTGTAAACATGTTGCATTGAATTTGCTGGCCTTAGCCTTCATTTGTTCAACTCTTTCAAAATGCAATGCATCTCAACTACGTGTGTGAATGAAAAAGGCAAAAGGCTCCAAGTCTCTCTCTAAAAGCAATACAATCAAGTCAAGAGGCACCACACACATGCATGATTGTCTCATTTTAATCATACAATCAGAAAATTTCTTGTTGCGACCTTAAAACCACACAAACCAATGTCGAAAAGGAAAAGGGAATTAAGAAGAAATTCATGTTCTCATCTTAGTCAGACAGTCGAGAAAGGTATAATGTTCCATCCAAATTCAAATTTCAAGAGTTTAAAAAAAGAAGTCGGGCAATTCTTTTGTAATTTTTGATGCTACTGTTATTATTAATTTTAAGCATGCATGCGTAAGGCATACGTAGGAAAACGAAATTAGATGGTTCAAATTGGCAACCATAGTATAAATTTATGGTACATGTTTTTCTCGTGTGAAAAAGAAAATATAGGGAAAAGGCCATGATTAATTCGTTTTAAATGCAAAAATAAAAGGAGAAAAAATGGAATTCAAGTGTAACTAGTATTCGGCTGCAATCCCGGGGGGGTTGCATGTTGTGTTGTTGGACAAAAAACCCATGGCTTTTTGCATTAAATGAGGCGGGTGACCCTCTTTCCCTTGCATTTCCTGGCGTTTTGCATTAATACGTGTGAAAAGGAAATTTGAATTTCTCATGAGAGAGAGAGAGAAAGCGCTAGGGACAAAGGCAAAGGCAAAGGCAAAAAAGCAAAGGATTCTGCGACCAAACACCATAGAAACAAGCCAAAGAGAAAGTCAAGTGCACAGTAAAAATGTACTATGGTGGTAGTAGCGTAAGTGGTTGGCCATGGGGGATTTATAATTTTATTTATCATGATGAAAGAAAAGTTCCAGTGGTTTAATAATGGAAGATGTTCATCAAAAGGGTTATTTACAGAAAAAAAAATTATAATTAATGTATTTTTCAATTTCCTTAATAAATACATATTTATACTAATATCTCTCTCCATAAAATTATTCAAAAAAACCCTTGTATTTTGGCCTATGAGTTCACTTGTTGGTTGATGGAACGAAATTTTTTGGGTTTTAAGTGTTGAAATTTGTCTTGAATCTTATAATCTCACGTCGAAAGTTAATGAATTTTTGAGTTTGTATTGTATCCCACATCGAAAGTTTAGTAAATGTATAAGGGTTTTAATCTTATAAATAAGATGTTTTTGTTTTAATTTAGTAGTTTTAGAGAGTTAGACACCAAGAGAATAGTTAAATGAGTAGACTATTAAAGAGTTTAATTGGATTTTAGGTTAAGTTTTGAGTAAAGAGTTTTTGGTGACTTTTCTCATTTTAAAAAATCTCACAATTATAAAAATTTATTTGTTAGTGGATTAGATTTGACATAGTTTATTTTGAGTTTATTTGTTAATGGATTAGATTTGGCATTGTTTATTTTGAGTTAGGCCGATGTGGGTGTTGCATGTGCATGTTGATTTTTTTAACAAATGGTATCAGGTTTCGTAACAAGTAGTATTAAGTTTCGTGGGCCGATATGCGTGTTGATTTTCTCAACAAGTAGTATCAGAGCTATAGTAATCCCTAATAAGTGGTTTTCCAACAAGTAGTATCAGAGCGAGCGAGGTTTCGTAATCCCTAACAAGTGGTTTCTGGGCCCAAGAGATTGTGAAGCAATGTTTGAAGTATATCAGAGCTGTGGTAATCCTTAACAAATGGTTTTCCAACAATTAGAGATTGTGAACAAATGGTTTTCCAACAATTAGAGATTGTGAAGCAGTAAGAGATTGTGAAGCAGTGTTTGAAGATGTCTGAAGAAGGTATGTCTAGTATGCTTATACCTAAGTTTGAGATATGATAATCCCTAACAAGTGGTATCAGAGTGAAGACATTGTGAAGCAATGTTTGAAGTGTATCAGAGCTGTGGTAATCCCTAACAAGTGGTTTCCCAACAAGTAGAGATTTTAAAGCAGTAAGAGATTGTAAAACAATGTTTGAAGATGTCTGAAGAAAGTATATCTAGTATCTTTATGCCTAAGTTTGAGATATGATAATCTCTAACAAGTGGTATCAGAGCGAGGTTAAGGTTTAAAGTTCGTGGGCCCAAGATATTGTGAAGCAGTGTTTGAAGATGTTTGAAAAAGGTATGTTTAGTATGTTTATGCCTAAGTTTGAGATTTCGTTATTTGATGGAAAGAGTAATTTCATATTATGACAAAGTATGATTCAAGATTTATTAGTACAACAAGGGTTGGATCAGGCATTAGAGAGTAGTAAGTCTGACGCTAATTGAAATAGGATTCAGAAGCATTAGAGAGTAGTAAGTTTGACGCTAATTGAAATAGGATTCAGAAGAAAGTTGTTAGTACTATTAAATTGGTGCTAGCTCTAAAAGTAAAGTATAGTGTGTTGACTGAAAACACTTCAAAAAGTTTATGGGATAAGCTTGAAGGTATTTATGCTTCGAAGTCATTGACTAACAGATTATGTTTGAAGATGGATCTGTATTCTTTAAAAAAAAAAAAAAGAAAGGTAAATGTGTTTTTTGTTCATGTTACCGCCTTCTTATCTTTCTTGTTGGAGATCTGAGTTGAAGGAGCACGACGTACTCGCTTGTTAATACAAGTAGAACTCTGCCCATGTAATTGGATTTGAACTGTTTTTTGGGTAAACCAACTAAAAAGACAGGCTGGGAGAAGGAAATCTTTATTCATATTCAACACGGATGAGTTCAGTAAGACTAACTACGGCACAACACGACATTGGGTCGGTCTTCCCTCCTTCCTGGGCTCTCATCTTCTTCTTCTTTGTCATCCGCCTTCTTATCTTCATCTGAACAGTGGTAGATCCATGATATTAGTAAAGCGCTGCAACTGCTTTTTCTACCACTTTATTACACTTGTGAAGCAGTGTTTGAAGATATCTGAAGAAAGTATGTCTAGTGTGCTTATGCCTAAGTTTGAGATTTCGTTATTTGATGAAAAGGGTAATTTCATGTTATATCAAAGTATGATTCAAAATCTGTTAGTACAACAAGGGGGTTGGATCAATCATTAGAGAATAGTAAGCTTAAAGAAATGTTTGACATTAATTGAAATAAGATTTAGAAGAAAGTTGTTAATACTATTAAATTGACGCTAGCTCCAGAGGTAAAGTACAATGTGTTGACTGATAGTATTCTGAAAAGTTTATGAGATAAGCTTGAAAGTATTTATGTTTCGAAGTCGTTAACTAACAGATTATGTTTGAAGATGGATCTGTATTCTCTAAAAAAAAAAAAAAAAAAGTAAGCATGTTAGCTTCGTAAATAGTTGAAGTGTTTGAAAATTTAAGTCAAAAGAGGATTTGTTGGGATTTGTTTTGAATCTCATAATCTCACATCGAAAGTTAGTGAGTTTTTTGAGTTTGTTTTGTATCCCACATCGAAAGTTTAGTAAATGTGGGTTTCACTCTTATAAATAAAATGTTTTGGTTTTGATTTGGTAGTCCTAACGAGTTAGACACCAAGAGAATAGTTTAATGAGTAGGTTATTAAAATGTGTAATTGAGTTTTGGGTTAAATTTTGAATAAAAAGTTTTTGGTGACTTAAATCATTCCAAAAGTCTCACAGTTGTAAAGATTTATTTGTTAGTAGATTAAATTTGGAGTATGTCATTTTGAGTTGGGCCGAAACAAATATATTTATATATTTTTATTTTTGATTTGAACTTATTATTTTATATGTGGGTGTTGCATGTACGTGTTAATTTTTTTAACAAGTGATATCAGAGCTATAGTAATTCCTAACATTAAGATCAACTTTTTCTTTGAGGGTCACAATTTATGGGAGCATATCTTTTGCCTAACCTTTTTTTCTCATAAAAACAACACAAAGTCTAAGTACCGAGATTTGTGGTCATTTTGCCTTCTCACTTGCCTAATTCCATGACGCTGTAACTGTAAGAATTTGTTCGTATGTAGATTGAGCTGTGGGCAGCCTTTCTGGAGCTGTATCTCTTTATACTTGTAGCCTTTACAGTTTACACAAATATTGCTTTATGCTGTACAAGTTTCAATGTCATGTGATAATTTGTTGTCTTTGCCTTTTGTAATCACACTGGAAAAAATAAAAATCTGTCTTTTGGAGACTGTAACCCTTGGTATATCAGTGAAAATTGAGGGTACCTCTTAAGTATAAAATTTTTATTAAGGTTTTCAAATGATACCTACCAAGTACTAGTACAAAGAAATAAGAGATGAAGGATATTGGAGATTTTGTCACTAGGATTTCATTGAATTTTGCTTAACAACTATATCAGAGGAGATTTGAGAGTGTGAAAATGATCAGCATTAGAGAATCTATTGTGCTGAAAATGGCAACTTCAGCACTTGACTTTGTGATTTAAAATGGAAATCAAGGAATGAGGAGTTTGACATATCCGATGATCTCAATTGAAGAGACAAAGTTGAATTTGAAAACCATGAAAGGATATATATATATATATATATATATATATATATTTATATATATTTCCTCTTCTTCATCTATCTTGTTATTGTTGTTAATAGATTAGCAGCTTTAATTCTTGATAATTACCTGGCACCACTTGACAGTGACACTTCAACCAAGGGCTGAAGAC